TAGACCATACCAGAAAAGTGTTGAAAAAACCTGGTATTAATAGAATTAAAGAACATTGCCGTTTTTTTTTTTTTTTAGACAAAGCGCAAGTATGTATGGACTCGGCCATATAACGCAAAGGGAGTAGCATCAAATGACTGGCTCATTCCTCCAGAACCAGCGCGATATGTTCGCTTTAGGTTTGAAAGATCGAAGCTATTCCGTCCGTTTGAAGCATGCATAAAGTTCGAAATATATGGCTGTTCTGGTAAGGAAATACTCTTATTCACAATAAGTCGTCCACAAAAAAACTGCACGCCTATTTCCCACCAACAGTCCATAACCATATTTCCTTACTTTAAAGCCGAGACTCAATCAATTGCATATGGCCGCGTTAAATCACGTCGAGTGCCTGCAACAGTCAAAATATCTCCAACTCGATCAGATAGAGAAATATCCAGTCTGATTCTAGAAGGTGATCCATATCGTGCATGGTGTGCCAGATACAAAACGAAAGTGTTTGTAAGTATTGGTTACGCAGTTCGATACATGCATGAGAAGGGTTGTATAGATAAATAGTGATCTTCGCGCTTTTAGTGCAGCGCGTGAAACCCATTCCCCAATGGTTAACGCTGCATGTGGAATCTTAACTGAAATATTTGCTACTTTATTCAAATGATTTCCCGTTACTTTTTATTTCAGCTTCATTTTGGAGATCCTACAATAAGAGAATCATCTCAGGTAAACAGTGTTCGTATCGACCTTAAGAAGATATTTGCAATAAGCCGAGTAATAATCCAAGGCGATCGAGACCAAGACAAAGGATGTACTGCTACTACAGAATCGATATCAATCATGCACAGCAACGACGAAAAGGTCTGGGTTCTAACACGTGACTACAATGGTCGCAATGACTTTAAGTTTAGGACTCGGGTAAGCATGCATGTGGGATTAAAGTACAGTGACCAAAACATGTGCGCATGCTCAGTTCTATTTCCATTTAACTTTATAGCATCTCCGCGCTGTTGAAGGCGTATGTGGCTATGCCGCTGTTGATATCAAGCCTACCATATATGGAAGATATTTTAGATTTATCATTCAGCGCTTTGCGAACTGGCCTTGTTTACGCATTGTACTAGTTGGATATGAGCCAGGTATTACAACTCAACATTTAATTTTTTTATAATAATAATTGCATGGGATAATTTACCAAAGAAGTGCATGTTTTTCATTCAAAGGCGTGCAGCCCCTGATGTCGCAGAGACCTAGGATATTAACACCAGGTATGTTGATAAAACCATTTCATTCGTAACTCGGATGTATATATTCTTCCACAAAACATAGAGTTATAGATCTATAATTCCCTCGTTTTGAATCCACATAAAATTTTCACTGTCCGCGGGTACAAGTGTATAGACATATCGACGGCAATCTAGATCCAGAGCCCATATTCATCTTGGGTCAGACGATCACCGAGTAGAAGGTGGGGTTCCGGAGAAAGGTTGGTATGATGAGAGAAAATGAGGTAAAAGAAGGACTGACAGGGGGGACTGACTGACAGGGGGGTGGTGAACATTGCAAGTAGATAGGGTTCTAAGACTAAGGCTATCATCACCACCTACAACAACTATGAACAGCAGCAATGAACAAACAAACAAGTGTTTTCTATAGAATTCATGTTTGATATTAATTTTCCAATGCACTTTAAACACAGCATGTAGCAAACCTCTTGGTATGGAAAAAGGTGCAATACGAGATAAGCAAATCACTGCTAGTTCGTACCTTAAGGGTGGTGTCCGTACAGAACCCCGCCATGGACGATTAAAACAAGATGGTGGCTGGTGTGTGGCAAAGATGAAACACTTTAATAATTACTATGCACTGAATGACTCCCTAGGTTTGTCAATAATGACTTATAATATTTTAAAATTGTTCACGGACTCGCTATAACGGACACGTTTAAATGTCCGTATTAGCGAGTGTCCGCTTTAAATTGAGTTATCTTCTGTCATTGTTTGGAGCGAGGGTTAATTTCAAGTCCGAGTGTTTGTAATAACGGTATGCCCGAAATATCGGGGTTTGACTGTTTTAGCTTAACAGTTACTATTGAAATATATCTTTCTAGAAATTGATTTAAAGAAAGAATACATTATTGACGGTTTTGCAACACAAGGTCATGCAAGTCCCATGCAGAACAGCTGGGTGACAGGGTATCTGGTTCACTATAGCCTGGATGGGATTTCATGGGCTGTGATTACCATGAGGGAACAAGAAAAGGTTGGTGAGATAAAACTCTAACACAGTGTAAATAATATTAGACAGACAGACAGAAATGAATAAGGTAAAGTAGTTGCCCATTCCAAGAATGCTCAAAAGATGTTCATATGTCACTTATGATTTGTGCTCTGCAGATGTTCCTAGGAAACAAAGATCCTGATAGCATTGTTCGTCATTATCTTAACCCGCGTATTCGCGCAAGGAAAATCAGATTTGTACCCGTTACATGGAACAAATGGGTTTGTATGAGAGCGGAGATCTACGGGTGTGATGATGGTAAGCAGCTGCATGGCTTTTGTACAATTTTAAAAAACTCCCACATGACAAATACCATTGCCTAGTCTCTTAAATAACGGGTCCAAGTGCAATCTATAATCGCCTACTTCCCGAGTCGTTTCTCTGGTTGATGATTTGTCTCGTGTTTTAGGAACGTCAGTAGAGACTAGGCTTGAGAAGAAATTACGTGGTACATGTACTTAATCGTTTACAATCACGACAAGTTGATGTTCACTTGTAAAAAATAAATTGTTTTTCCACTAATAGAGGTTGAATCAAGGAAACTGGCGCTTGTTCCTTTGGTACCCAAAAAGAAAGTTGAATTTGATTGCGGTGACTATGAAACATGGGGACATACCAACTACTTGAAGTAAGTTAACTTTGTACATATTTTTAATCATATTTGTTGATGTTGTGTTTGAACACAAGGATCTGTAAATATTTAGTCAAAATGAAGAGATTTTGATAAGCGAAACTAGTTTTTGATGCTCGATATTTGGTGCGTAAAAGATAATCACAATGGAATGAAGATTATTTGTTGTGTTTTAGGTAAAATAAAAACAGGTACTCACCAGTGTATTCACATCAGCTTCTCACTTTATAAAGGTGTTGAAGGCATACATGATATCTTAATGGTTTTATTATACAGAGTGAACCTAGACAAAGGAAAGAGTACTTGGTACCAGAAAGCATACAATGAAGACTTTGAACTGGTTGAAAAACGACTGACTTTAGCAACAAATCAGTTTCCTAACGATTTTGGCTCTCGTCATTTCATGTGTGTCGGTAGGACGCGGGATGGTATGGAATTGTTTTGGCAACACCTGATAGCTGCTCCAAGAGGTTGGTTGTGACACAGAGCGTACTTTACCATTACAGTAAAAGATGCGTTGCTAATTGTCCAGGAAATATTCAGTCTTATTTAATGTTACGAAACGTTTATGATTCTCATTCTCTACCCCTAAATATCGCAATAATGAAGAACCAGCACGATCACGTAACAGATACTAGTGTTATCTTCAAATTGATGACAGAATCAATACATTTTAAAATGGATGTTTTTATCTTGATAGGTCCTCGAGCTCCCAAATGGCTTTCTCCTAATTCCAAGATGACAACAATGGATTCATCAGGTTGAGTAGCTCACGGTCTTGAAGTATTCATTACGTCTAATAGACCGTAACAAAGACATTTTTAAACATTAGATGTCCCGCAAATTATTGTAATTCAACGTTTCGACCCGGCATACGATGGCGGTATTCCTGTTTGGTCTGAGCCTGCAACAGTTTATGCTAGCGGTAATATTGGTCAAATTGCTGTCTACGTCATTGGAATACGTGAGTGGTGCATCGTGGGTTAATATACTGATAATAAAATCTCAACGTGAAATCATGGTTATGACGTCAACATGACTTCAGTTATATTTTGCGTCATACCATTGTGATATCTCAAGCGCGCTTCAAGCGTTGAGAATGCAATTTCAAAACATGTCATGTAATTTAATTCATAACATTGTCAATGCACTAATACAAAAGGTTTTTCTTTTAGCATATTATCCTATCACTATTCATAACTGTTTGATTGAAAATCGCCTTCTCGATTGGCACTTCACGATTCTTGGAAACGTTCCAAAGAATGACTACAGAGCATGCTCACGCCTTGCTTTATCACGTGGCTATGAGTACATGTCAGTACTTGGAGGAACGAACTGTTTATCTAGCTGGTATCTGCCGCTGGCCACATCCCCACACAGATTGCGAGACAAAGGCCAGTGTCGACTTTATCCTAAAGTATTCTTTATAAATGGTAAGACATTTTCAACACTATCTAATTGCCTATATGTGATGGCCTTTAATCGATGTGGGATGCAAAATATGACAGGCTTGCGCATGATCAGTGTCGTAATCTCCATACACTTTATCCATATATCCCATTAGAAAAGAAGGAAGAGACATGTGCTAGAAACACACATACCATGCATTAAAACTACTATTATCATATTTAGCCACATTTGAAGAATACCAGATTACCTGGTCCAAAAAGAACCGAGAATCAGATGATGACGACCATTGGATAAAACTTCAATCTTACACTATCAAACCAAGATTCAAAACTAGTCCTCACATTGCTACAATCGGTGATGAACCCAATGAATACACAGAGAAAATGAAACGGTAAGATATATTGCTATCAGTGTGTGCAAAATATAAAACAACTACATTATAAAAAGACCAGGTGGCCGCTTAAATAGAGGTTGACCGTTTAATAGAGGTCATGGTTACAGTAAACATATTTGAGAATCGACTTCTTGGAGATTCATTAATAGCCGCATAAATGGAGGGTTGACCGCTAAATAGAGGGTCGTTTCGATAGAGGGTCGATTATAAATCGATTGAGTATTTATTCCTTATTCGGCAGATTCAGTGATGGCGGTCGTTATCGTACATTTGATAAACCACTTTTTGGTGATACATACACTGGGAGTCACGTGATGGAAATCATGGATATGACCGTGGAGGATCTTGGGAGTTACAAGTTTGAAGTTTTCGTACCAAGTAGAGGACTGAGGAACGAAGCAACAATCGAGCTTCGCCACGAAAGTAATTGAAATATCGTTTTTTGTACTTTTGCTACAGTTAGTGTGATCACGTGATGATATATGGTGTGTATATAGCAAGTAGTAATACCAACTAGGATAAGACACACTCAATCGCGCGTTATGAATGTAATGTGCGCGCGAAAACACGCGTCCTGTCAATCACTGGAAGTGCTGTTAAAAAATTTAGAAGAGAACGTTCTTCCTCATTTAGCTGATTGATTGGTTGTTTAAATGTCAACAGAGGAACCACAAATAGAGTTACCTGCGTTTTACCAGGCATGCGAGACCGTTCCTGGTCCAATGACAGTCAAAGAGACAAACCGCGATCTGATCGATCCTGAGGCTTGGACTGCACAGTGGTTTCTTACCCTTCTTGTTGGATTTAAAGTTAAATATCGATATTCATCTACAACAAGATATGACTACGTGGTAAGTTTTCAAAATTTATAAGTTTGATATCGTAACCATAAGTTCTCCGGCTGTAATAATGTCATACAAATTTGCCCGGATATAGTAGCTCCTGGCGGAAACTCCCAATAGCACTTGCACGGTCGTTCGCAATATAGCACACACAATACACAAAATCATCCCTTCTTTATAGACTAGTGGTATATGGAACGAAACATTCACATGGACCGAGCCCAGCCCATATGCAAATGGTGAAAACTTCGAAGTGTTCGTGGAAAATCGCTACGGATTTGCAACAGCACTGGCACAAATTGATGTCTTTAAGAAAGAAGGTGTGAAATACTATATAAATGTCAGAATAAACTCAACATTTTTTTACAATATTTCAACTTTCAGTTCATTTTTTTTATCACGGCGAATATCATTTTCATTCATGCATTAGAAACTCCCGCTATCATGTGGATTACTCCCTCGCCTTTTGAAGCTATAGAGGGAATCAACCAAATACTAGAAGTCAAGATAACAAATGAAAAACAGCTGCAGTCGGTCAAATGGTATCACGATGATAGACCAATAGAATCAGCCACCGATCGGTATGGTCTTCCAGGTATAGCAACTGATATTAAGTAATAAAAGCAGTTGGGCTTTGACTTTTATTCATGCAAGCAGTTTAACACCAAAGGTGCGCAAGATAAATAATCTTAASCGTTTCTTGTTTGCTATCAGAATCATCAGCGGGAGTACACAAGAAGCTGAAACTAATAAAAATCGACGATAAAACAAAGGGCAAATATAAAGTAATAGTAGAAGGAAAAGCTTGTAGTTTTGAAAGAACAATCGTTGTTAAAGTCATAGGTAAGTTCGCAATGAGCGCTATCCCGTACTGTTAACATCATTATAGCGGTAAATATCTGATTTATTCAATAGTAATTCCAAGAGTTTACTTCAACCCACGTGAAGACTTTATCATCGCTAAAGATACAGATAAAGAAGTTCTATTTAATGCAACTGTGAAAGGAGGAAACCCCAAACCAAAGGTAATGAACGAGTGAAAACTGGTATCTCTAAACATAGTTAGTAGAAGGAGGCTAACTAACTATGCTCTAAACAATTCTTGATACTAACATATCCTGCTCATTTCTAAATGATTAAAATCAAATTGTATTACGGTTTTCCACATAACTATTTTCAGATTCAACAAATGTCATGGAAAAAAGGTTCAAAAACTCTAATATCTTCGTATGGTGGAAGAATTGCGCTCTATTCCACACTAGACGAGMATTTGAACTGGTTTAGTGTACTGAAAATAAGACAACTGCGTCCTACAGATTCTGGAGAGTATAGTTTTGAGCTTGTAACAGGACCTGCACTTACCAAAAAGACCTGGAGACTGAGTGTCCGCTCAAGTAGGTTATATACCCAAAGAACTAAGTTCATTTATTTKTTTGCTCATTTCATTCGTTCATCCTTCCATTCATTTYTCTTTTGATKAATCTTKTGTCTCGTAAGCTCTTTGTACTGATTTCTTTTGTTAACATTTTCAGCAAAATCTGACATGCCGACACAGAATACGACAATTGCTGCAACAGCCCCTCAATCTGCTGCCTCTATACCTAAAAGCCATTTCCTTATTTCTAGGATTCTGAATTTCATACCAGTGGTATATTATTTTGTCATGAATATTTGAAAGGACACAATTAAACTTTAATTTAAAARAACGTCCCCAAAAATTATTTTTTCTTTATCTTTTTAACGGTAAAACTTTATTTTCTTTTTAAAAAATGCGAAGTTATCCTCCATCTTTTAAATGCTTAGAGTATAATACGAATGCAATCCGAATGCTAAATTTTCGCTGCAATGATATAATATTCAGAATAAATGATGTGAAAAGATTATACACAAAATCTCTTAAATCCCAAGTCTTACATAGTGAATCAAGACACTGATTAAAAATAAATTTCGGCTATATACAAAACATTTTAGACTAATGTAACATGGACACACCATGTTCTGCAAGGTGATTCTTGTTTGATATTTTCTTTTGATATTTTAAATTAAAATTCAAGACATTTCTTTAGGTTATTAGAATTCAAATTAACAATTTGAATAAAAAGTAAAAATAGTGATGTGTATCTAGGAGCCTGACCTGATAACAAAATATGCCCCATCAAATAAATTGATGTGACAATGTTTTAGTACATCAAAGGTAATTTGTCTCCCATCTGTCCAATGTGTTCTCACTGGTGTAAGGCAATTTTTAAATTGTCATTAAAATGTCTATTATTATGTTTCAATATTATTTTTATGTAAAAACAATACATGTATATACTATTTATTTTTGTAAATAAGTACTTATATTCTTATTTTTTCAGTATATGTGACAGCATTTTAAATTAATTTTCACCAAAGTGATTTAAATTATAGTAAGCACCCCATGGAATTATCAACCCAGCTGCTAATTTAAATAAATATTWTACCATTCTGTTACTTCCAAAACAACAAATCCCAAAGCCCAAGRTTTTAATGTGGATTCAAGGCCATATCCACAAGTTTCAGAATGSTCTGGTTTTATGCAAATTGGTCTAGGTGWCCAGAATAACACTTCCTCGTTTCATGTGTGACTTCACAAGGAAAAGRTGGTATTCCAGTGACTATTGACTATGAGAATTAAAAGTCACTATCACTTCTTTACATTATGACTATTTCATCTTCATCGTCACTCTCCATCAACGGCCTTTCAAAATTCTCTTTCCTCCTGTTAGTAAAATAAATTTTTCCTAGGTTATCATTGTCTTTACAGCATCTTCTTGATATGAGGTAGAGAATAGCCACAGAGAATAACCCTACTGTAGTACAAGCAATAGCTATTACCATGTTCTTATGAGACTTGATAGTATCAACTATCCAATTTGACGACTTTAGAATGTGGCTTATTCTATTCAAATCACCATCGTTCTTKGCAGGAGTAATACCCAATATATGACACATCAAGGTATATATGTCAACTTCATAAATTGGGCCTGACCTATAGCCTTTTTTAAATGCTGGACCATATGCAATAAAATATTGGTGCATTTCAGGAACTAATGGACTATATGAATGGACTCCATAATTATGATTTTTAAGATAGTTTGTCATATAGTGYGTTGAACTATTTATGAGRAAGTGTGGCTTCATCACAACTAATATATCYGCTATACGTCTATTGTGACGGAAGTGAAGATACTCTGGAATTTCAYCTTTCTTGTATACGTTGAAGGCTCCTGTGATGTTTTCTGCTATCTTGCATGTGTGGTACAGCTTTTCAAGTGTAGATTTACTTGAGTTAGTGATTTGCAAGTKGAGAGCGCTTTTGCCCCATGAAATGTAGGATTCAGGGTTGATATACTGGTCTATACCTATGAACATACTAGTGTTGAAGTTWATCATTCCATGGTCGGCAGTGAATATGATATTTATTCTTTCAAAGGAATCCAACTGCTTTAACTGTTCAATCAGATAAACTGTGTTGTTATCCAATTTCTTCAAAACATTTCTTACTTGAATGGAGTCTACTCCAAACTTGTGTCCTTCTTCATCTGGTTCGTTAAAGTATAAAAGAACCATTGAMGGTGGATCTGAGCCATTCAGCCAYTTGATAGCCATATCAATACGATCTTTCSATGGCATTATGTTTTCTGCATCAACAAAGGGTCTTCCATAAGTAGAGTTGGGTCGATAGGTAGGTTGACGTCCTTTGATGACCGCATCATAGCCTGGCCAAAAACCCACACCTGAYTTCATATTTTGTTTCTCGCTTGTCACCCAGATTGGTTCACCCCACTGCCACCACCTTGAGTCATTCGTTTTCATTGAAAATGTATCATTAAACACAGGGTCATACATGTTATTCCCAACGATACCATGATGTTCTGGATACAATCCTGTTACCAAAGAGTAATGATTTGGAAACGTTTCAGTTGGAAAGACATTTTGCACAAAATCAGCTCGCACACCTTCACTTGCAAKCTTTCTYAGTGTAGGAACAGCGTCTTTGTACTTGTCTAGATAATCGTAGCGGAATCCATCGTAAGAAATCATGATAACRATTGGACTTCCTGMCGAACTAAATGCAACACGAAAGGTTGCGCTTAGGAAGRTAATAGCCACWACAAATACAAATCTTCTCCATATGTACGACATAGCTTTACCAATATAAATATTCAATTAAATATCAATTTCTTTATAATAAACATTCGTCGCCTTCGATTCTATCATGCAGACAAAGAGAA